CTCCCTGCTGCACAGACATACCTAATAGTCAATGGCTGATTTTTTCCTTAAACAGATCACCAAGACTTTTCTTCGCTGTTGCCCTCTAGGTGGACTCAGATCTCCAACCTTTTGGTCAACGCCTAGGGAAACTAATACAACCCCTTTAACCACAATGGTGGAATTTAAGTAGGAATCTAAATGAATGAGATTATAAGACAAATGCCACACAAGGTGCCACAATGAAAACAATGTCGTCATTGTTAGGGGCCGTGGGCTCGCACGGTGACCCTGTGTACAACAGAAGGAAACACTGCCCAGTCCTGTGCCAGCCTCAGGATCCTTGCTTGAGTCCATCATTGCAGCCACCGTGTCAATCCATCCCCTTGAGAACCTTCCCCTTTTTCACTGAACCTCTACTTTACCAAGCGTGATATCCTTCTCCAGGAATGGTCCCTTCTGACAACAAGACCAAACAGGAAAACAATAAACAATGAAAACAATGAGTGCTTGCCATAGGGTGTTGAAAGGGAGGTCAATGGGTGCAATCTTTTTGTTCCACTTCTCTGACACCATCTAAATGGAAGGAATTGAGTTCTAATGAAAAATCTATCCAATTCAGTTCTGATCCAGGGACACATACTTTTCTCTGATCCTAACCACCTGGAGCCAGACCAGATTTCAGTCTCCTGGATCACCAAGTGGGTCAGAGACTTCAGACAGCAGTGGCAAGGTTGGGGGCTGGGGCTTCTCAGGCCCCCTCCTTCTGACCTGCTGGCTCCCACTGCCCCTTCGGGTTCAGTAATTTTGCTTGACTGAGTCACAGAACTAAGGCAAGTCGTATACTTTAACGATTACAGTTTTTATTACGTCTGAAAGGATTCAATGATGAGATGCATAGGGCCAGGTCTGGGAGGGTCCCTGACACAGAGCTTCCATGTTCCAAGAGCAGATACCGTCCCTTCCAAGTGTATGGATGTCTGTTACCAGCGGGAAGCACACCTGGGTTCTGTGTCCAGAAATCTTTATTGGGGTCTCATTACATAGGCAGGAGCTCTGGTGGCCTAGTGCCTAAGGCATTTGACTGCTAACCGGAAGTCTGGCGGTTCAAACCCACCAGCCACTCCTCGGAAGGAAGGTTGGGCAATCTACTTCAGTAGTGATATCACCTCGGAAACCCAAGGAGGGTTGCTATGAGTTGGATCAACTCCACCGCAGTGACTGTGAGTTTTTTGAGTTTATTAGTAGGCTGCTGTTGCTGTTATTTGCCATCGAGTCGGCCCCGACTCATAGTGACCCCTCCTTGGGTTTCTGAGGCAGTATCACTACGGAAATAGGAATGCCCAACCTTCCTTCTGAGGAGTGGCTGGTGGATTTGAACCGCCAGCCTTCTGGTTAGCAGTCAAGTGCCTTAGGCACTATGCTACCAGAGCTCCTTTATTAGTAGGCATGGTTGATCAAGTCATGCCCCCTCCCTTGAGGTTAGGTGATATCACGTGGTCTTTCTGACCAGGCCAACCCCCACCTAAGAGGCACCTCATTAGCATAAACCCACAGGTGTGCTCTGGAGGTTTTATCACTTCCATCTCTGGAGAAATTCCAAGGTTTTAAAGGTTATCTCTCAGGAATCAAGGGCAAAGACCAGATTGTTGGAGAACTCAACAAAACCAAACTCACTGCCATCAAGTCAGTTCCTACTCACAGTGACCCCTCTTTGGGTTTCTGAGGTGGTCCAAGATTACCCAACCTTCCTTCCGAGGAATGGGTGGAGGGTTTGAGCTGCCAGCCTTCTGGTTAGCAGTCAAGTGCCTTAGGCACTCCATAGGTGTGGCAGGCCCTGATAAGATACATATATACCATTACCACCTGTTTTGCAGATAAAGAAAC